CTTTATTAGGCATCAAAACGCATTAAACCCTAATAGAAATTTGTTTCTAAATGCCTCAGGGACCATACTACGTTGTCAAAGTGCCGAAATATTGCACTTTGCATGCGCAGTAGAATTGACATTGGCGGCTCATGTACGTATCGCAATGCTTGACACAAAATAATTAAGTCGAAAGGAGCAGAAGTGCCGTGTTCGTAACACTTGTAGCGCTATAATATAATTCTAATCTCAATCGATGTAGTAGAATACGATACGAGAATACTAATCGGATGGCAAAAATGCATTGTATCAGAATTCCATCATTTGTCCCGCCTGCGGCAGAACTTCAAATTTTTAAACTGTTCGTTTTTCTTGATCTCGAAAATACAATTTCAGATGAAAGTAACATAAATGTCATTAATAAAATAGCGTAATCCGACTACAAGTCCTGATATATCGTATCACTTATCGCTAATCCATAGCAACAATACCGAAAACAATGTAGAATTGATCGAGTACTTCTAAAATATAAACAACATGGCGAGTAATGTTACGCGTGTAGGATGTAAACTAGTAAATCAGTATTGTAATTATGAAACGCTGTAGTATTTCTATATGTGACTAGGCGATCAACCTTCTTGATTCTATCGTTTAAAAAAATTTCTCTTAAAAAATGTCGTCAGAGAAGGTATGTTGTATAATTAATAAGCACGCTAAAAGCGGGTTTTAAATTATTATTGAAGTACAGTTGTTCTTTGTAAATGGATGTATATCTATTAGACCTTTTGTTGTAGGTTCTTTATCAGTTGTATCAACCTCATGGCCCTGGTACTGTATTTATTTCATGGCGTCCTGGAAACAGTACTCATTTAGCAACTACTGGATACGATTCCTCTGTTGCTATTTTTGACAGACAAGGTGATTTAAAAGAACGTATTCAAATTGCTGGTTTATGTACCGGTTTTGGATGGGATGCTGATGGAGATTTATTGGCTATTATATCACAAAATTCTTCTGTTATCACATTATGGGATGCAACGACTGGAAAAAAGTCACAAATAGATGCCGGTGTAAGAGATGGACTAACATGCATGATGTGGGCAAAAAGAACTTGCTTATTGGCAGTAGGAACACAAAAAGGAAATTTAGTACTTTATGATCATATAAATGCCAAGTATGATGTCCTATGCTAATACATATAATTTACATGCATTATTCTAACTTTATTTACTATATAAATTTATTGATTCATATACAGACGAATACCAATTTTGGGGAAGCACAAAAAACGAATAATTTGTGGTATTTGGTCTTATGAAGGGCTCCTTGCTTTGGTCAGTGAAGACAAAATTTTAACTATTAGTACTAGTGATGGAGATACACGCCGTGAGATACCGCTTCAAGGAGATGCATCTGATATTCAGTTTAATGAAATGAAAATGGATCACAGAATTGGGGGTGAAAATACTGTATGATTCTTTTATCTAATGCCATTGTATTTCTTTCAGTAAAATATTAATTTGTTATTATTCATTAGGTCTCCCTTATTATTAGTAAAACTACTTTGTTTCTATACAATATTTTGGATCCAGAAAATCCCATTGAATTAGCCTTTCAAAAACGTTATGGTTCAATTGTTACATACAAATGGTAAGATTACAAGTTATTAAATAGATTAAACGCAATATTATGAAAAATATCAAATTTTAGGTATGGAGATGGGTATATCTTAGTAGGGTTTGAAACTGGATATTTTACCGCAATTTCAACACATATTAAAGAAGTTGGCCAAGAGTTGTTTCAGATTAAAAATCATAAAGATTCTTTAACTGATTTAGCTATAAGCGAAGTAATAGGGAAAGTTGCTACTTGTGGAGATAATACTATAAAGATACATAATTTACAAAGTTTGGAAGAGACTGACAAGTTAATTACTATCAGTGGTGAAACTGGAATTAGTAAAGTAGAATGGTCAATGGATGGAACAATGGTAGCAGCTGTGACTTACAGTGGTAGTGTCTTAGTCTATTTAATACAAATTCCAAAATTAGTTAGCGTTTATGGGAACAGAATTGCCTTACTCACTAGTTTAACAGAAGTAACAATTCATCTCTACACTTTAGACAAGGTACATACGACGTGTATGATAAAAAACTTTAATTGTATAAAACTATATAAGTAATAGAAAATCACATTTCAGGAAAAGTCAGAGCCAATAATAATTGACACTATAATAGAACCGTCCGTATTAGCAATAGGTCCTATGCACGCAGCAGTAGGTTTAAATAATAGAGCACTATTTTGGGACATATCTGGAACCCATTATAATACTGCAGTACATTTTGAAAGAGATTACCTGGCTACAATAGATAGCATACGATTGAATGAAACTTATGTATCTGTTTTATTTGATGGAAAATTACAATTGCACTCGGTAACAAGTATATTTCGATGAACACAAAATTCGCTAAGAGATATTATTAACTTGTATGTATATTAACGTATTACCATTGCAGATTAAAGCTGATCAGACGCTAACAAATAAAGGGAAAGATACAAAAATATTTCCGGATCTAAATACTTCAGATTTCAGAATAACGTGCCATGCTCTTAGTACAGATTTCTTAATTTATGGTAGTGATGTAAGTTATTTTTACAAAGTATACGAATCTCGATATGTATCAATCAGACTAATTTACGTTCATGTATGTCCAGATGGGTCACATAATTTTCTTTTGCCTCGAAGTTTTTAATCAATGTATGGAATATGTACATAATAATAGTATAAAGGAAATCTATTTAGATGCAAATGGAACACAATTATGTTTTATAGATAATAAACTTGATGTTTATGTATACAATCCCATGCAAGAAACTATTTTACAAATTCCCGATTGTCCGGACTGCATACAGGGCATAATTTGGGATCAAAATATTTTGGAGCGTAATATATTTGCTGCATACAATAAGAATATCGTTAGTATGTACATATTTGTAAAATATTTTATTGAAGGTAAGTTAAAAATACTACACCATAGCTAAAGTAAATATATAAAATACATTTTTAAACAGGTACAAAAATCATAAAAATAAACACGACGAAGCTACCATCCGAAACATTACCATTGTTAATGTATTCTGGAGAATTAACATTAAGTTCATCCGGTAATAAATTGGCTCAAATGACGCTATCTTCTCTTGAAGATACAGGAAACATTGTAGAATCTAAGAAAATGGAAAAGTTCTTAGAAACTCAAATTCTGTGTAGGAGGTAAGCATTGTATTATTCTAACTTAATGGGTATAAATTATGTATTTATTACATCTCAGATTTCAACAAGCATGGAATACTTGTGAACAAATTAATCAGAAAGAATCATGGTTAATGCTAGGGGAAAGTGCAATTGCAAACTTGGACATCGACTTTGGTATATTCTAAATATCATTATTAATACATACATTAATTATATATCTGCAGTAATTATTTTCAACCATAGCAATTCGTATATATCGATATCTCGAGGATGCTTCGATGGTGTGGGCATTAGAAAACATGCAAGATATAGATGAATTATCATTATTATATGGTCATGCATGTGTATTACTTGGTGAATATAATCAGGCAGAAAAATTTTTTTTACAATCATCAGAACCAATACAAGCATTGTATTTAAGAAGAGATTTAATGCAGTGGGAACAAGCATTAAATTTAGCACAAAAATTGAAAGCTGATGAAATTCCTTATATTGCTAGGGAATATGCCCAACAATTGGAATTCACGTAAGGGATATCGCGAAGTATGTGTAAATTATTAAAAATACAACAGTACGTAAAAAGTCAATTTTATTTCCTTAGAGGTAATTATCCAAAAGCTTTGACAAATTATGAACGTGGATTAGTAATTTCAAATAATTCAACATCCAACACAACTGCACATAATCCGCATCATCGAAATTTATGTCTTGCCGGTGTTGCAAGAATGTCCATTAGATGCGGTGACAGCAGAAGAGGTGTGAGCATAGCTATGGATAACGAAAGTCCGAGACAATTACGAAAGGAGTGTGCAGAAATATTGGAATTAATGAAAGTACGTGTAACTGTGTACATTACATTTTATAATGACACTAACGCTCTCTTTATTTAAAAATAAATTACAGCAATTTAACGAAGCTGCATTATTGTATGAAAAAGCTGAATATTTTGACAAAGCAGCCTCCGCGTATATAAAACTAAAAAATTGGCAAAAGGTCGGACAACTTTTGCCACAAATATCATCCGCTAAGATTAATATACAGTATGCTAAAGCCAAAGAAGCAGAAGGCAAATATGACGAGGCAGCAAAAGCATATGAAACTGCAAAGGATTACGAAAACATAATTAGAATTAATCTGGAGCATCTAAACAACCCTGGTAATTTAATATATGTATTTACACCTAAAATTTGATCAAATCATTTTTTTACAATTTTATACTTACAGCACGAAGCGTTGAAATCGTACAACAAACTAAAAGTATAGAGGGTGCTAAAATGGTTGCAAAATATTTTCAAAAACTGAACGATTATAATTCGGCAATTAAATTTTTGATCTTATCAAATTGTCACGATGAAGCTTTCCAGTTAGCTAATCAACATGGGAAAATGGAATTGTACGGAGAAATTTTAATAAATGCTATCGACGATAGCAGTGAGCGAAAGGAAGATTTCAAAAGTCTTGCAATGCATTTTGAGTCCCAAAAGAATAACCTTTTAGCTGGAAAGTATTATTTTTATGCTAAAGAATACCAAAGGGCATTAAGGCACTTATTAAAAGCTGCACAATTAGTAACAGATGAGAATGAAGTTCTCACGTTAGCTATCGATACAGTTGCTTCTTCAAAAGATGATAAATTAGCAAATCAGCTGATAGATTTTTTACTTGGTGGTGATGGATTACCAAAGGTAATACTTAGCATTATGTAATAATATAACAACTTAGAGTACACATACATATTGATATGTTTGTAGGACCCAAAATATTTGTTCCGGTTATACATGGCGAGAAAACAATACAAAGATGCTGCAAAAACAGCAATGATAATTGCAAATGAAGAGCAAGTTAATGGTATATTTTATAGTACATTTATCGAATACATTTCGCAAAGTAATTTATACTGAATAAGAAATTGTGTTATAGGAAATTATCGAAATGCCCATGATGTTTTGTTTAGTATGTACCAAGAGTTAAAAAGAAACAAAATTAATATACCTTCGGAAATGCAAAATAACTTAAGACTCTTGCACTCGTACATTCTCGTTAGACTTCATGTAAAAAGAAATGATCATCTACGAGGTGCACGCATGTTAATAAGAGTGGCTAATAATATTTCAAAATTCCCGTCACGTTAGTAAAGCAAAATTTGATACTTAAGGGTAGTATAACAGAAACGATAAAAATTTGATTATCGAAATATTACAGACATAGTTCCAATCTTAACTTCTACCGTAATCGAATGTCAAAGAGCTGGATTGAAATACGCTGCATTTAATTTTGCTGCTATGCTAATGCGTCCAGAGTATAGAAATCAAATTGATACTAAATACAGCAAAAAAATTGAAGCCATTGTACGGAAACCACCGAAGTCAAAAGATAACGAAATCGAAGATGAACCTTTAACTCCATGTCCTTATTGTGAAAGTAAACTTCCAGAAACGGAAGTTACCTGTGATAAGTGCAAAAATACGATACCGTTTTGTATAGCTACTGTTAGTTTTTAATAACTATACCTTAGTTAAAATTTAGATGGGTGTTTTTAATCGCGTGCGACAATTTTTAGGGACGACATATTATAGAAGACGATTTTACAGCCTGTCCACAATGTGATTTTCCCGCTATAAGAAGTGAACTTTTAAGGTATATACATTGAATTTGTATTAAGTGTGATGTTTGTAATCATTTCAACTTTCATTTTCTTAGGATCGTCGAATCTGAACAAACTTGTCCAATGTGTTCGGAGAAAGTAGACGTTAACATGATTCAATCCACTCTTAATATCCGTCCATATCTTGATTTTCAGGAGGAAAAATCTTCAGTGAAAGTATAATTATGTTCTTTTTTATTTTGCTACTATAGTTCAATTTTACGAAACTATTTGTATGAAATGGCGCCGTCTGATATGAGTACAATGTAATCAAGTACAAGTAGTTTATCACATAATTTCATAAACTATTTATAAATGTTATACATAAATTAAATAATGCTATTGCATAGAAACATAAATGATATGTATGTAGATATTGCCTTCAGTAAACTAGTCTCAATTGTAATTGACTTGACTTTTGTTGCATCTGTAAAACACATACAGAAAAGTAAGAAATAAAAGCGACATCTAACATGTTATACTTAAGTTGAGATCCATTTTATCAGCATTCATGCATACAAATATATGAAAACATATACGGTAAACATGACGGCATGGCATGACTTTGAAAAATTGAAATTACAAAATGACTCGTTGAAAATTTTATGTACTATCTGATTCTTAACTAATGAAACGAATCATTATAATTTTGCAAAAATTGACATTCAAAACAACCTTTCCACAATTTCGTCTACACAATTAATTAAATTATATTAATGTAATTAAACTTCTTTTAATCGAAAAATCTCAATATTATCTATACGTATTTCATGAAAGTATATAGCATTATAAAACATTATAAAAAAAAATTAGATTTTTTAAACTAAGGAAATTGAAAAAATTATAGATACGAAATACTTCACATTGTTTATACATATGATAACAAAACAATACATATAAGTATAGATACGTATAAAACAATTTTAAGTTCAAGTGATAATGGGACACGTTGTATACGCATGTGCTAAACTTACAATTCAAAGATTTGTAAGTAGAACTTTAAAGATTTCACGTGAATTGTAAAATATGTATGATCAGTTTTAATACCAAGATATTCGTAACCCAGTTTTTATCTCGATAATAATTGCGGATGGTAACAATAAACATTTATCAAACGCATAATATATATCGTAACAGTTTTACTGATTAACTGTTACGTGTTGCGACCAAATATCATAAATACCATTTTTTCACTACTTCCACTGTATTTAAGTTAATAAATAAAAATTTATACGGTTATCTCTGCACAGTTTAGTAGTGGGGAAGTATATGTCAAAGCCAGTCGAAGCAAATACAAATCGCAGCAGTGGAGGTGCAAGTGTAGTCAGCGCCGGTATGTCAGTAGTACTCGGTTGAGGTTGCATGTGATTCTTTTTTAAACAATATATTTGGAAGATATTAATTCGTGATTTAAAAAAATTATTCAAAAATTCTATTCAAACGTTTAGCAAACGTAAAAAATATAACCGATCGATAGTAAATAAGCAAAGTCATTATATTTTTCATCAATTGAGAGCTGGTGGTCAAAATGGCGAAGAAGAATGACTCGCCGGGTTCCACCTCGACTTCTATCGGGCAGGAAAGCCAACAATTGCTTACAAGCTTTATAGCTGAAATTATAAAGAGCCCAGTGAATCTTATTTTAGTAGCTGTAATTGCCTTGCTGGTCTACAAAATTGTTAAAAGCAAAACGAAGATGGAAAAACCTGTAGCAGAAGTAAAGAAGCTACCAAAATTACGACGTGATTTTACTGTTGAAGAATTGAAAAAATATGATGGTACAGGACCAGATGGACGAATATTAATTGCCGTCAATGGCAGCGTTTACGATTGTACTCGAGGTACACGAATGTATGGTCCTGGTAAGAATTCAACAACTTCTACGATCTGATCTATTTTATACGATCATTTAACAATTCCATCGACATACTGCAATTGTTCGCAGTAATACTTTTGATATTTCTATTTAATTCGCAAGTAATTCACCTTTCATTATCGCCAACCTCGACCTATGCAAAAATAAATTCGCGAGTATTACGAGATCGTGATAATAATTTGCGAAAGTTTCAATACAATAACATATTGATGAATTTAACATTTCATTAAGTACCAAGGTCAGTCTGCTCGTTATATACAAGACAGATTTAATAAAATCTTGATAATGTTCAATTTGGAAATACAAAATTATTAAAGGGTTTGCATTCAACTATGATAGATTATTATAAGAAGCACGATTGTTTCAATATTTTGGTACAGTTTTTGATACTGTAACTTCACAATTTAAAATTATACCATACATATTTTAAATGTTTTTAATTAACTTTTGTTACAGGTGGAGCATATTCCGTATTCAGTGGCCGTGATGCAAGTAGAGGGTTAGCAACATTTATGTTAGAAACGAAAGATGAATACGATGATTTGAGCGACTTGGATACGGATCAAATGAACTCTGTAAAAGAGTGGGAAGAGCAATTTAAAGGTAACTGTTTGTCTAAATATAGAGAAAAGTTATACAACTGAGAAATATCAGAAAAGACATTTTAAAATTTCATTAACATTAATACATATACGTATAATGTATCTATTTGTGTTAGATTAAAAAAAAATTTATTTATACAATATTGAAATTTAATAGTTCATACATTATTATTTTTCCTTTTAGAAAAATATGATTATGTGGGAAAGTTACTTAAACCTGGAGAAGCACCTACAAATTATTCTGATGAAGAAGATGAAGGTAGTCAGCAAGAGACTGAGTCCAAAGTTGAACAGCAAGAAAGTGAAACAAAATCTGATCAGGGAATTGAAACGAAGTCAAAGAATGATTGACCACTTGATTATACACCAAATATCAAGCAGTTTCAAAAAGTTATTGCGCACATACCATCATTAAAAAAAACTCTTAAATTTGTGGATCATGGATGTATTTGTGGACATTCATCTGAATATTTTACTACGTCATAATGATATTGAAATAAAGAGTAAAGTGGTATCTTTTGATCAAGTTAAAAGCATATAAAGATTCAAAACTAATGTTACATGTGAAGACTTTTTTTGAGTATCCAATTTTCCAGTCAATAAGGATGCTCATATAGTATAATGTTTTTATATATGTACAAAAGATTTCTTATATACGGATCCTTAAAACTGGCACTAGACATAAGACAGATAACTTTTGAACTATATTCCATTATTAAAAAACTTTGTTTGTACTATTATTCTTACTCTGTCACATAGCATTTGTTACATATAATATATGTATTTGATATCTATAAAAATTACCGAATGGCGTTATATTTGATATGCATTTGAAGTTTAATATTAAATTAATACGGTACTTTGCATAATCGTACTACAAATTTATACTATATTTCTTAAGTTAAAAACAGTATGTCTTGTAGAAATACTATCATTTTCAGCATTTAACTTTATTTTATATTAATCTGAGTTTAGATTTATTTGATATGTTATATGAATGTGCAAGTCAAACCTGAAAATTTGAATTCTGAGATTTTTTTTAACAGCAAGTTACGTTAAAATTTCAATTTAAAAATCTGTATAAAATGATAAATATTTGCTAATCTTTTCCACATAAATAGAAACGGAGGTATTATTCTGTAAAACTTAACTATAAATTTTTATACGCCATGTGAATTATTATTGTTCAGAGATGGAAATTTTTCATGGTGGCTGATATATATGAAAAAAGAAAAAAATACTGTAGCAATACTTAATCTTTGTTACCATGAAATTATTTATCAAATCTTTTTAAATTAAGAACGTTACAAACTTGCATTCATTTGGATACGCGGATATGTTATACACTATACAATTATAGAATGCAAGTTTTCTCCAAATATTTTAATTATTTGTGCAATTAATTTTATTTTATCTAATAATTTAATTGGTATAATTTATATAATAAACCAATATTTATATTTATATTTAAAGTGAAATACGTCAGAGTTGAATTCGACAATGTATTTTTTGTTAACTGTGCTGTTAAGGAGAATAACATTGGTGTAATAAAACCGTTGTTAACGCAAAAATACTACATACAATTTAACGAAATTAAACTGTTTTAACTGAAGGAAATAAAATTTTATTGCAGCTGTATTGCTTCATGGATTATTGCAGAAAATAAGAAGTACCTTGTCGTAATTTATATAAAAATTTGTATGTAAATTTACAATTACCTTGTGAATGATATTACACTGAAAATTTTTCAGTTTATTACGATTATTTCAAATTATTGGTACTTTATCAAATGGTAATTTATCAAAATTTGAACCGTAACAAGTGTTATTGGGTAAACTGCATTTTTTATAATAGAGGTCATATTTACTCAATTTTTTATTGGTACAATTAACATATAATATGAGACTGAGTTTTCTGCAAATATTTGCGACATTAATTTCATCGTAATATTCCACCCTCTACATAATAAAGTCGGTACATATTTTTTATATATTTATTATCTATAATTCGTATAAAAACATTTTGCTCGGATTAAAATTTCAATGAAATACTTAACCAAATTTATTTTATACGAACACAAATTATGTAGCATGTATCACTTTTTTGTAATATTTGTTATATGCGATTTACTGATTATAAGTATCATATTTAAACCCTATTGTTTCGAAATAATTTGTCAAGAACATTACTCTATACCCAAATATGTTGTTGTCTTTTATGTTAAATGGAATGTTAACAAATTTCTATGATGGTGTGTTAATAATTACAAGTATCAATAATTAGCAACCTTGTATAAGATTATTTATAAGAAATGTTGTGTATTGTTATCAAAATGTACTTTCTGTTACTATAAAAGAGCAAGGTTGAGGTACTCTTATTAGACATGATACCAAAAGACATTATTGATCTTTGAGTTAAAAAACCATTCCTTTTAAACATGTCCTTTTACTTGCAGTTCATCTATTCCGTCCTTATTGTGTAATATTATTCCAAATACTCCAGTTACTAAAATAATACATAATATATTTTTTTACAAATATATATTTTTTTTTTTTTTTTTTGTTTCATACAATACAAAGTATACTTATTTAAAACTTACTAACTGGACGGTATATAAATCATTTTTATGCTATCAAAATTATTTTATAAAGTATCGTCAAATTACGCGCTTATAGTATTATGCACGTTAATACGTAAGTACAAGACTTAATAGTTATGCGTATTCGTAAATAAATATTCGTATCATTTTGTTTAAAATGAGCTAGTTGCAAATCATCTTCCTCGTTTGTTAAATCATATCGCTTCCTTTAGCTAGGATGGAATGAAAGTTGCAAATAAAACGTACCTTTTGAAAGATGTTTCCATATACAAAGAAGAAACATGGCCCGTATCATCTTGAATTTACTATCGATACTCTACTAAACACTGATCTAAAATAGTTAGTATAATTTTTGAAATGAATGACGTTGAAATGTTTCAAACATAAATAACCTTGTGTCTCTAACGCATGACTATTATAATGATTTACAACGTTATACCGCATTAAAAAAATATAATTTCAGTTTTTTATAATTTTCTTGACTTATACTATATTTTATATTTTCCAAAAGATAAAAGTAACAGCTTCTTGTTCCTCTAATCTATTATAATTGCTTTATTTTCGAATATGTAATCAAAGAGATCAATATTGGATCTTTTTACGTGATTTATTATAAGATAAAAATACGCGGTTTCCTTTTCTTTAGTATGTAATTGAGGTAATCATTTTTATATATGTTCTTCGTTTAAAATAGATAAACAATAATTCAATTTTATAATTACATACTATAAATATTATAAAATGAGACCATATCGAATCGTATCATAAAGATTACGAAAACTGTATTCGTTATCATGGTAGACAACGACAGTGATATCAGTAACGGAAAGCTTGCGTGAAAATAATCCGTCGTGTTTGTGATAATCGAAATGCAATATTGATGTTAATTAATTCAATACTTCTTTTCTTAAGCGTATTTTTAGTGATTTATTGCAGAAGTTAGTATTAGAATCGGTCAATGTATCTTTCATTGATATCTTCATTTTTATTCAATGTACCTTTCTATCGCATAGAAATATATGAATAACGCGCAGTTTCAATATCAACGAATAAAGTACCTTGTAATCAATTGCCGATAGGTCTCACATGGTATGAAGTATAATAGGAAGATGTAACGAAAAATTAATTATTAACTGTATCAAGTCAAATAATAAGTTGAAGTGAAAGAACTTGGCAATGAAACGGCGCTCAACGTTTTAAAGCATTTTGTCTAGCGAATACATAGTTACGTAACACTCGGATAAAGACTATCAACAGATTTTCGTGATTTCTGTCTATCCCTGTGATAATTACTTTTTTATTTCATTTGCATCCACTATTTTTAGAAAGAATTATTTTACAACTAATCTCGCCTCGAAAATAAACAATATGTTCGGATAAAAGATCGACAAATTGAGGAAACATTCGCAATATTGCAGTATTCATGATAAATCTGTTACTGCAAATCGTAGATTTAAACGTTACAAGTATTAACGAATAATCGATGTCGCAGAAATTTCTGTAAGAAAACATTCATTTTACGTGTCCCGTGTTACCAATTGATCGAAGAAAGAACGAAACTTGAATCAAAGAAAATTATGCGAAGCAAGCGACTAGCAATGCTCTACAAAGAGCCGCTGTCAGTGAGATGGGTGGCTAGGTGGCTGCTGCCACGCCGTCATCCAGTTCCCGTCCCATTTCCAAACTCCCTCTCTTCTCACGCTCACCTCTTTCTTTACACGATTTTCTGTATCTGACAGTATCGTATAAGCTCGCGCGCGCGCGCACGACAAAACGTATTACCGAAAGAGAAAAGTAAAGAGCGAGAAAGAAACAAGAAAAAGGGAGATGGAAGCAAGTTCACGCACAATATATGCGTGTGGCCGCACAGCAGGCGCGTGCCGTTCGCACCTATCCACGAGCGAGATTCTCTTTCTCGGAGAGGACGTTCTGCGCAACGCATTCTCCCCACCTTACGTGCATTCTTCGTTTTAACCTGTCGATCGAGAAATCCCTAGCCATCTTGTAATAACATCCCTTTGGCACTTTTGACTTTCTAAACGTAGAAGCACACATTTATTTTAATTTTTTCAACGTTCAACTACTATCACATGTTTGATCTTTATTCAGAAAAATGTACATGAACGTAACTACTGTAAATTTTGAATTTATTCAACTAATGTATTTTAACTTTTCAATTAAAATTAAAACGTTAACTAGTAAATAAGTAAAATATATAAAAGCCATTTACTGATGCATCCAAATAATATATTACTGGTATATTACTTTTTCTACTTTAAATTTTGTATACTCGATTTAATAATTAAACTGATACGAATTTTGCATTTTCTGCAGAGTCTTTATATTTAGCATTTGAAGATAAAATTAAGCAATGTTTGAGGTTATATTTCTAGATGGATACAAAACAATGGAAAACGCAAAAACATTAATACATTTATGTTTAAAATGAGAAGTAAAAAATTGCGTAAACAATTGATGCGATGTTTTTCCGGCAACAGGAAACAATTAGGCTAGGGCCTTTTTCTAAAACAATAAGTTACGAACACCACTGAAACAAAAAATAATAACGTTGTTAGTTAAAAGCGTTCGAACATACGAATGATACCGTTAAATTTCGATAGGAACATATAGTCGTAATAATTACAAATCTGATCGAAAGTACCTTACAACCACCGTGCGAAACCGGCCATTATCAAATGGTGGTAAAGGAATAAACGAAGTTCTCGTGGCTGTTGGACCGGCGGCGTGAATGTAACCATAGCGTTCGTGGCCTCGCAGTAGTCGAACCAATCACGGGTATCGGTTAGATCACGTGACGAGTTGAACCAATCAGGTATTGAGTCTAACGTCACGGTAACCATACGGAGCCAGTCGGACATTTTCTGACAAGCGTAGAAAAACTCTCGTCAACAGCAGCCGCCATTTTACGTTAGCCGATACTCGTGCGGTGCGGAACTCTCGCGATCGCTTTTCCCGAGCGAATTTGTGTGGCGCGCGGTGGCCGCCCCGGAGCCGACTCATCTGATCGTCTTCGCCTCCTGGCGTCCGTGATTGCCTCGAATGTGTGGGGAAAACGAGCCGCGTTCGCGGTGATCGTTCGCGCGCCCTGTGTCGCAGTGTGCTAAGGCGAGAGAAGAGGAGAGGAAGATGGTGCCAGCGGGCCTCGAGAGCGATATCGTTGCTGCGAGGTAGCGCCGTGCGCGCAGCCAGTCCGCCACACTCGAGTGTTTGACGAGTCGTGCGCGACCGACTAAACCAAGTTAAACGCGAGGACTAGTTCGCTAGTGTGTACATTTAATCTGGCTGGTGATCACTTGGATCGCGATACTGATAGTCCTGTTAATTTCTCGGCCTGTCTCGTCCTCGCGCGAGTGGCCAGTGCGCCCGTCGAAAAATTTACCGTGTGTGTGGGCTTTAGCGCGGGGTTCGACGTACCCCCGACGATGCCCAATGGTTGATCGTGTACCGAAGCGTGCTCGGGGACGCTCCACGCGCCGCGGTTTATGGTATTATTGTCATGCCTGCGAATACCCTGTAAGCTCGGTGAATTTTCGCGGCTTCACTGAAGAAGAGGAAGCAGCAATACCAGTGGTAACAGCATCGGCAGCGGCAATCTTCTAGTGGCGTAGTGCAGCATTTCGCCCGTGTGTGTACTCGTGTATACGTGCCTGCGTGCGTGCCTGCCTGCGTGCGTGCGTGCGTGCGGTCGTCCCGACTTGCTGCCGCCGCCGCCGCTTATTTGCTACCAACAGTAAATAGCCTGAAAGAAGAAAGAATTAACCCTAAAAAGAAACCATGGCCGACCACCTGGTGGACGGCCCGCCGAATAAGCGGCCGAAGCTCGGAGATCCTTTTCAAGGAACTTCGGACTCCGCGGGTAAGTTGCTACTTTGATTTGAATGTTATAAATGGTGGATTAAGTCAGAGTCGTTCCGCGACTAACCTTCCAGGGATAAACGTTACAAGTAGTACATAAAAGGTTTTTTTTCATTAATTACGCGCCGTGCACGTATCTTGTTATTGAGAAAAATATGCCCGCCGTTTATCAGAGACATACTGTCAAATCGTTTGACGGGTGCAACCTTTGAGCAAAATTATCACGTGTCCATGCTTCGGTTTTTCTTAACAGATGCACCCGAGTGTTTCATCTTGTCGAGGATTGTATTGATACGATAATTACCTATTTACCACGTGTTGTATCGTTTTCGAACTTTTAGAAAAGCGTTGTGGTTGTAGCTGATCGTTTTATTTTGAGTTACAAACGTCATATTTTGACAGGGCCCTGTATTCAATATGTTTTAAAATTATAAAGGAATCAGCTTTCTCTATTCTCTATCGATGCGTTTAACGATCGAAATCGTATCTTGTTATTAGTTAACTGTTTATAAACTAACCTAAATTTATCAAGAAATACCGTCGTGGAAATTACACTATATTGCAAGTTGTAGAATTTGATTATTTTTAAATCTTTCTGTCAAAATAATCAAATATTTTATGTGATTTGCGTTACATATTGTTTTACATCTATAAAAATAAAATACTTGAGTAACAATAATATCTTGTTATGACATAGTGCTTCCATGTACTTTTGTACTTTTTATATTCTTTATTATCAATAAATTATTGTTATTATTTCACTGTAAAACAATTTACTCGTTAAAATTATTTATAACAGACAATTTGCATGTAGTGTATAAATTTTGCTCAGAGGTTATAGATATAATCTGTGTTTAAAAAATAATTGTTTGCATCTAAATAATCTATAACTTCTATCTTATTGCATGTCCTTTCTCTTAGGCAAATTTAACTTTATAAAATAATAATAATATTTTGTAAATTTTTAGTTATCTCTAGAATTAGTTCTTATTTGATTTTTGTAGTGCATGATAAACGCATGGAAGTTTGGATAATAATTACAAAAAGATATTATGCTGGCATGATTGATGCGCTAACCGTCTTCTTATTCTTATTTTCTTTAAGCGCTATTTTAGTACCTTAACAGTTTCTGAACTCAATAATATTTCATGTAATCTCATTTAAAATCAAAATCATGATCATGACACTTAAATACTTGATGTATAAATTGCAAGATCTAGTCAGGTTACGCAAAGTAAGTGGCAGACATAGTCTTTCTAATTTGAAATTTTATGCATTAACATAGTTATGTACATTACTTTTATTTAAAAGAAGATTTAGACTATTTCTGCTACTTAAAAGTTGTGATCCAGAAAGCATAGACAGTTTTTCCACAGTCTGAAATAAAAACTGTGATATATGTAGTGGGTATGGCGCCTCTAATGATGCACCATGCTTATACAAACTACGGGGGAGGTGGCAGTGGTAACATGCAACAAATGCAGGGCCCGCCACAACAACTACATCTGCAACAGCATCAGCTGCAGCCACATTGGAACAACCATACCGTCCAGAAAAGAAGTAAATATAATTACAAAACCCAGCAAAAAGTTCAAAAATACTAAGTCCAGCACTACAGAGTTTGTTTGTCTGTCCATTCATCTCATTTATTGGTACCATAAAGTTATAAAGTAATTTGATTACTTCCAATTTATGTCATAATTTTCCAGATAGATAGTTCATAAACTTTTTAGAAAGTATATAATAGTTTTAGCATATTGTCACTATGGTTCAATATAGTTGTTACTGTTGCTATTTATACTAGTCAAAATTAATAAAAGGGTTGTATTTTTGTCTTATAATCTAAACAGGCTAGATATATTAAACTAAACTACTGGAGAAAAATTGGATCATTTTAAAAATTATGAAATAAATAATGTGTATATATATGTACAATGGTTTAATATAAGCTTTAAATGTATGAAATGTATCTAAGCAATAAACATGTTATGGACATGCGACACACATGCACAGAGCTATAGAACTTTACGCTAGGATAAAATGATAATCATTGATATGTTTTAATAGTTTTTAAATGAAAAATGACTGTATGTTAATCAAGATAAAATTCAAGTCGGTTAATTAGGTAGGTAAAGATAGTGTTTTGTATATACTTTGGTACTTTGCAGGTAATGAATATCGTAAATTGAATAAATTTACAATATTTCATACGAGTTTCAGAAACTTTATTTTTTGTTAATATTAAAGCATTGAAAACTTCCATTTACAAACGGTTGTAAATACTCTTTGGAGTGACTGATTTCTTCGCATGATTGTCTACTCTAAAGTTTGCCATCGGTAGCTTTGCTGCTTTTGTAGTCTAGCACGTCTTTATTATGGAGAAATTGTTATTCTGCTATAGGAAAAATTCCTTTAAGTTATGCTCACGCAGTGTATGTCTCATGTCTTATTTATTTATGTATTTGTTTGTTGATATTTATATGTAGTTTGTTGTAGAATTTTCTTGTTTTATTTTCTTTTTCCTCTTTTTGAATATTTGCATTTGACCCCTTTTTTCTCCGTTGTTGTATGGTTAGTTTTGAATAATTAAGTAAGTTCAAAATACTAGTACAAGACAAATGTATTTCAAACACTATAAGTTAATTTCATTAGCATAAATGCAATTTTTTTATTATTTAAAATATGATATGTATGCAAGTGTTAAACAGTGTGTGCATGTGTGCATATATGTGCATGTATATTTACATGCAGGTATATTATACAACATGCATTAAATGTTATATGGTAGTACAAATATCTTACTATTAAATCTTTGGATAAAAGCTATGGTGACGGTGCTGAACCTTATCTTTATAATATTACTAATGGTTTTTTGGTCTCTATGGTATCTGTTACATCTAATTTGATTATAATCTGAATCTGTTTAAACTGGTTATCTAGAAAAGTAATTATTAGTTCTTATAATAAAATTTTATAATCATTGTAGCTCAAAAAGTATTTAGTTTGAAAATATAACAGACTTGTTATTAACATATACTCCATTCAACTACAGTACATTGACATTTTACTTTTGTAGTAACCAGTATTTTTTGCAGCATTACATATATTAAAGAATAGTCATTAATATAAATATTTATTCTTAGATTACATAACAAACACAGATATGTTTGATCTTGAAAATGATCTTCCTGATGATCTATTGTCAACGGGGTCTTGGGGTTCTGCAACCGAAAGTGCTAAACCACCTGCAACAGGTCCAGGGCCAGGGCAGCAAAATGGTGCACTTGACTCTGAACTTCGACAGCATGTACAACAACAGCAACAACTTTCACATCATTTAATACAACAACAAGTTAGTATATGTAAAGTATATGTATTTTGTAGGATGTTCTGTAACTGCTGGTACAATCAGAAAAGAATGTAATATCCACTCAGCACCAATTGTATTGCCAATTATAGAACACTCTATAAATGAAAAGAAATGGTTTTCATTGTTTGATTTGAATTTGTTTTGAAACAGGGCAACAAGAACTTGGTTGCTAATTCTTTAGTAATGACCACTGGAACTTTGGGTAATAAAAGTCCAAATATGCAATCTCCACCAAATGTTTCCGTGTCTAAAGTAGTAGATCCTCAAATGGTCGTGAGTCTGGGAAATTTACCAAGTAGCATAGCCAGTTCTTTGGCAAATAATCAAATGTCTATTGCAAATTCGATGGGGAGTCTTCAATCGTCGATGAGCATGGCTGGAAGTAATCCTACCATGTCAATACCTGGTGGAATGAATTCTGGCCTAGTTATGGCCAGCAGTGCTAGTGGAAATAATAATATGGGAGGAATGGCAGGTGGAAGTTTAATTGTAACAAACAGCTTAAATAAGCAACCTTTAAATACT